TTATGCTTAAGAGCAGCCCCAAAGACGCAAGCTAAAAGCTAATACATGCTACATTTTGGTTAGCATGTACATTGTGAGAAATTGATAAAAAAGATTGCCGTATTTGGCCCTCAGGGTAAATACTAAATGTGTGCTAACATGCTACAATAGATAAACCCAAGCTAGGGGGAACAATGTAATGCTAGGTAGTGTGTGGATTTTACATAAATTAGCCAATGTTTGGGTTGTATATTCTGATGCTAGTTATATTTTGAAGCTAGCTAAAGTTTGGGTTGTATTCTGATGTTAGCTAATGTCTGGGTTATATTTTGAAGCTAGCTAAAGTTTGGGTTGCATTCTGATATTAGCTAATGTTTGTGTTAAATTCTGATGTTAGCTAAAGCTTGGGTTGTATTCTGATGTTAGCTAACATTTAGGTTGTACTCTGATGTTAGCTAAATTTTGGGTTCTATTCTGATGTTAGCTAATGTTTAGGTTCTAGTCTGATCTTGGCTAATGTTTAGGTTCTAGTCTGATGTTAGCTAAAGTTTGGGTTGTACTCTGATGTTAGCTAATGTTTGTATTGTATTCTGATGTTAGCTAATGTTTGGATTGTATTTGGGCCTATCTTTCTGTTTCAGGTAGGAGGCCACTCACTGCATCCTTCTCCGGGTTGCACACTTTGACCCACATGATGTGGTCCAGAAGCCAGTCGATGGGTTTGTCTTTGTAGAACATCAGCATGAACTCCACGATGAGCGACAGATCCAGAGACTTGAACATTTTACCTGCACAGAGAAATGAGTCGTTTCTGAACCTCTGAGCTTCAAACTGCTCCAATTTCTGCTTCCAGACACAAAACAGAAGCTCATTTTTAGGCTTTTCTGATCTGTGACGGGAAAAGGAACCAGAAGAAGCCAGAAAATCTCCTTGAAATGAGGATTAAAATGTGATTTAAGTCGAATTTATTGATTTCTCATTTGCATAATGAAGTCATATGTGTGAAAAGTTCCATAAAATGCTCAGAAAATCAAGTAATTTAAATAGAAAATACAGAAAAAGTGAATCTGTATTTCATATATCCATGATATAAAAAATACATTTAAAAAAAGAAATCTATCTATCTATCTATCTATCTATCTATCTATCTATCTATCTATCTATCTATCTATCTATCTATCTATCTATCTATCTATCCTTTGTTCTGATTTGTGTCTCTTTGTGGTTGTTTTGTGTCTCTTTGTTTCTCTTTGTGGTCTTTTGTGTCTCTTCCTGATTGTTTTTTGTCTTTTTGTATCTGTTTTGTGTCTCTTTGTGTCTCTCTGTGGTCGTTGTGTGTCTCTTTGTGGCTGTTTTCTGTCTCTTTGTGGTTGTTTTTTGTCACTTTGTGGTTGTTTTGTGTCTCTTGCTGGTTGTTGTGTGTCTCTTCCTGGTTGTTGTGTGTCTGTTCCATGTTGTTGTGTGTCTGTTCCATGTTGTTGTGTGTCTCTCCAGACGTGTGTCTCACCGATGAAGCCGAGCTGAGAGAACTCCAGGATCATCCACTCCTCGGACGGCTGCTGCAGAGCAAAGTTCTTCATGGTGGTGAAGTAGTTTGGACGGGCCATGATGTCGTCCTCCAGCTGAGGGACACACAACTGGTTTCTAAGTTGTTTTTTAAGTACTGGTTCTAAGAACCAACCGCCTTAGAGACAGTTTTTACCCGACTAGAGACCTAGTTTTGGTTGCAACTAAATGCAACCAAAATAATAACCGTTAATCATCATGGATGATGTGTGTGAGAATGTGCTATTCTTATTTATTAGTTGTTTTTTTTATCAGTTTTTATTTCTTATGTTGTGTGTAAATTGTGGGCATAGGCACTGATTGATGGCACTTTTTTATATTTCGTTGTTTCTTGTGACAATGACAATAAAGATTCATTCATTCATTCATGCACCTGAACGCACCACCAGAGACAGACTCACTCACTGGCTGGAGCCCCCAGTAAGGATCTGTCTATTTACGGTTATTGTGTGTCTCTTTGTAGCTGTGCATCTGTAGTAAACATCTGTCTATTTACAGTTATATTTTGTCTCTTTGTAGCTGTGCATCTGTAGTAAGCATCTGTCTATTTACAGTTATATTTTGTCTCTTTGTAGCTGTGCATCTGTAGTAAGCATCTGTCTATTTTGTGTCTCTTTGCATCTCTGTTGTCAGTCGGTGTCCATTTGAAGCTTTTGTTTATGTTGATGTTGTTCCTGGTTCCTGGTTCCTGGAGCAGTAACCAGGAACCAACTGGTTCCTGGTTCCTGGAACAGATCCATGGAACCGGCTGGTTGTCTATTTACAGTAATTTGTTGTGTATTTGTAGCTGTGCATCTGTAGTTAGCGTCTGTTCATTATTTATTGTTGATGTTTTCTGGTGAAGTTTTGAGTCTTTAAATCTCTTAAATCCGCGGAGAACATGGAAAAAAGGCATGTGAGCAGAAATCTGAATCTTTTCCTGGATGAAGCTGGTTCCTGGTTCCTGGTCCAGGAACCAGGAACCAGCAGAGCTGCTCCAGGAACAAGGAACCGGTTGGTTCCTGGAGCAAGTACCAGGAACCAGCTGGTTGTTGTTTCCAGTTCCTGATTGTGGTTCCTGGTCCAGGAACAGACTGGTTGTGGTTCCTGGTCCAGGAACCGACTGGTTTTGGTTCCTGGTTCCTGGTCCAGGAACAGACTGGGTTTGGTTCCTGGTTCCTGGTCCAGGAACCGACTGGTTTTGGTTCCTGGTTCCTGGTCCAGGAACAGACTGGTTGTGGTTTCTGGTTCCTGGTCCAGGAACCGGCTGGTTGTGGTTCCTGGACCAGGAACCGGCTGGTTTGGTTCTGGTTTCTTGGTCCAGGAACCGGCTGGTTTTGGTTCCTGGTTCCTGGTCCAACAACCGCTTGGTTGTGGTTCCTGGTCCAGGAACCGCCTAGTTGTGGTTCCTGGTTCCTGTTCCAGGAACAGACCGGTTGTGGTTTCTGGTTCCTAGTCCAGGAACCAGCTGGTTGTGGTTCCTGGTTCCTGGTCCAGGAACCGGCTGGTTGTGGTTTCTGGTTCCTAGTCCAGGAACCAGCTGGTTGTGGTTCCTGGTTCCTGGTCCAGGAACCGCCTGGTTGTGGTTTCTGGTTCCTGGTCCAGGAACAGACCGGTTGTGGTTTCTGGTTCCTGGTCCAGAAACAGACCGGTTGTGGTTTCTGGTTCCTAGTCCAGGAACCGCCTGGTTGTGGTTTCTGGTTCCTGGTCCAGGAACCGCCTGGTTGTGGTTTCTGGTTCCTGGTCCAGGAACAGACCGGTTGTGGTTTCTGGTTCCTAGTCCAGGAACCAGCTGGTTCTGGTTCCTGGTTCTGGTTCCTGGTTCCTGGTTCCTGGTCCCCTCACCTGGACGTAGTAGCTGCCTTTGGACTGGGCGTACATCATCAGGAAGCAGTAGTCCAGGTTCTGCTTGGTCCTCCACCTGCAGGCAGGAGGACACACAATCTCTGTGTGTGTGTGTCTTTGTGGCTGTTGTGTGTCTCTTTGTGGGTTTTGTGTGTCTTTGTATATGTTGTGTGTCTCTTCGCGTCTCAATGTGGTTGTGGTGTCTTTTTGAGTCTCTTTGGGTTCTTTTGTGTCTCTTTGTATCTCTTTGTGGTTTTTGTGTGTCTCTTCGTTGTCGTTTTGTGTCTCTTTGATGTCGTTTTGTGTCTCTTTGTGGTTGTTTTGTGTCTCTTTGAGTCTCTTTGGGTTCTTCTGTGTCTCTTTGTGTTTCTTTGTGGTTTTTGTGTGTCTCTTCGTTGTCATTTTGTGTCTCTTTGATGTCGTTTTGTGTCTCTTTGTGGTTGTTGTGTATCTTTGTGTCTCTTCGTGG